ACAGACAGCGTCTCTGTGATCTACTGCCTCATGATCCTTGCAATATACCATTAATATTGCTTCAGATCACGATTTTCCACTTGCTGGTGTAAGGACAGTAGCCCGTAAGGCATTGTAGTGAATAAATCTAGGACTATACAAGAAACAGTGCAAAGCACTACTGTATATCTGGCAGAGGAACTTGACTTTAATTCACTGCTTTAAAGCTCGCAGAACATATATAGTGACACACACAGGATTCAGTTGCGCAATCAGAAGAGCATCTCCCAAAGTCAGGAAAGAGGCAATAGGTAGTTTGTTACTTGCTTCATTTGTTTCTCATTGTACTAGTTAGCTAATGTGCAGAAGGCTGGTCCCCCACCTCATCTCTCTTTTGCTTTCTCACTGGGCAACATAAATATGACCCCTACAGCTAACAGCTTTAGGCAGCAGCACAGCACAAACTCTTCTTGGATTGCAAAATCTTACTGGGTTGCCCGTAGCACCTTCCAGTGAAGGGCAGAAGTCCCCTCACAAGCACTACTTCCAGTGGACAACATTTATGTGTCTCCTCTGCCTCCACATCTGCAGACACTGGGTAGGAGTGTGCTGATGAGAAAGACATTATGTTGACCAGTAATAATACTGTGAATATCAAGAAGTTCCCTTGACACTGATTATTAACAACATGATGATAGCACACTGGATTACCAGACATTTTGTGTTATTAGATCATCCAATTCCAGCAGGTGGGAGAAGTCAGGATGGGAACAATCAGGGAAAACAAATAAATACACTTTGTTCTTGCAAAGCAGCGGACTAAAATCTCAGCTTTGATACTCCTGTATCTAATTGTTAATGAGCACTTTCACCAGAGTTGGTGGGTTATGAGATTCAAAAATACTTGAATGCTTTAGACAGCCTCCCTTGTAGGATGTGTGACAGATCAGTCGGTCTAAAGACACACATCTCAGAACATACAAAGAAACCAGACTCCTCAGGTCTTCCCATTCCGAGACTGTAAACTCTGGTGTTTGTAACAGCGATTACAGAGATGCTGTAACAAGAGCCCCTGTAAAGGACTCTTGTGTTTACTAAACATGTTGATTGAGAAAGCCTGTGAGGTCTCTTATCACCACCATTATGATTCTGTGGTGAAAGGGAAATGCGAGGACTGGCACTGAAGCACCTGTCTCAGTACCAGGGAACATTCCTGCTGTCTCTGGGAGATGTGCAGCTCTACTGTCCACCCAGCACTGCTGGCCCTCCTTTTCACCAGGGCTTCCTGACAGGCCTTAATCATTCCCCAGGAAAACCTCCAAGCCCACTGTCACAGCCTGGATATGTCCCATTCCTCTCACCCTGACAGCCACTGAAAGCTAAATCCAAGTTCTTCCTGGCTGCTTCTCTAACTGGAATACAGGGAACCTGTGCTTCCCAGGAGGTCCAACACAGCCAGTGAGACAGGCAGAAGAGAGACATCTGTCTTTTCCTTCCCTCTCCCTGTTAACTTTAGACTGCTGTTTTTTGTCCTGTGTTTTCCTCTCCGTCTTACAGTCACACATGCACACTTCTTGAGCAGCTGTGAAGCTGTGCAGGCATCAGAGCAATAAAATGGAGAATTTGGGAGAAGCTGAACACTAAAAAAAAAAAAAAAAAGAAAGAAAGAAAGAAAGAAAAGAACACCATACCCACTTAAAGATTTATTTAGCACAGAAGGTTTGCATTTCAGAGTAGAAGATAATGGAGCAGTGAGGGTTTTTAGCAGCCAAGAACATGGTTCCCAGCATCCATTTCCCAATCTCATGCCACATGTGGTTTTGAGCTGAGAGTTCTGCATCTTAATTCACTATTTTTGCTCCTTGCTTCATAGGAGATGTCACATTTTGGAGCAATCCATTCTGGTTTGATTAGAGGAAGAGGTCTTCTAGTTAATCACTGCAATCAATTGCCATAATTGCTATGTAAGGACTCCTCAGAAATGGTTTATGGTGCAGTGGCCTGTTCATGTGGCTGGAATTCATATGATGTGGAATCTCCTACCTTTGCTAGGACATGTTTTGCCACCTTGGGCAAGAAGCTCCATTTTTGCTGGGGTCTGCTTGTGCTGAGCCATGATACAAGACACAGACCAGGGAGCGTGACATTCATGTGAAGTGTTTTATGACAGGCAAAAAGGATCTGTCTCGTGGCTGAGCGAACACCAAAGTAGGCCAGGTCCTGCTATAAGATACAGTCCCTGCAGTCTCACCCTTTACAACTGGCCAGGTGTAAGTCAAGGCACTATTCTCCCAGCATGGGAAACACTAAATTCTGCTCTGGAGTCTCTCTTCCATTTGGCTGATGTAACACTGAAGTCGTAACAATTTTCTGGGAATAACAGGAGGTTCAGAGGTTCCAAGCTACATTTAAACAGGATTTGAACAGACCTTCCTAAGCCAAACTGACTCCCAGTGCAACTCTAATAAGGCTGGAGGAACTGCACCTGGGATGATTTTGGTCCCACACAATATGTCAATAGCCAATCTTAATATGCCTGGATAGAGGCATCTTTGAAAAAGATATTCTCTTTATAGTACTAAATTCTGATCTGCCAAATGTGGCAGCCAATGAGCTCTTCCAAACTAAATACTGTGAGGATTATGCATAAATACTGAAGTATCCTAATCAGCCTCTTGGTAAAAATTAATTGATCCATTACAGACAATAACTATATGCTGAAGTTTTTATTCTGCATTTTTTACTTCTGTAAGTAGCATATGTGATTTGATTGGCTGGATATTTTAAACCCTAGGGGACCATTGGTGGAGCAGTACAAATTCCTCTGAAATCCAAAATTGCCAGCTGCAATTATAGTCTGCATCTAGCATCTTCTCCAAGGATTATAAATGCTTCTCCACTTTAATTTTGCTTAGCATTTGCATCACTGTGTGACAATTACCAAGCAACAGCAAAGGATGAATTCCGTAATAAAGTCTGGACGGTAAGGAAATACTGTCCAAATTGAAATATTCTATTTTAATCTAATATTCATCAGTTTGTACACATGGATATATCACATTTAGATACAGAGCACTGGTAAGACAGACTCTTTTTGCTGCTGAAATGCCTGTGGCTTCTTACGTAATAGATATGAGCAAAATTGTTTTCTCCTAATATTTCTTTCTTGTTTTCAACTATGCAAAAGAATGAGATACTAAGTTGTAAATAGTAGTAATTAAAAGGTCAGACTGGCAACTATATCATTCCATTTAAGGCTTGTGAAATTCTACCATTTTCAGTGATGTTACACTGATATAAAGCAGGAATGAAACAGCACCTTCATTCAGCTCAGCTATTTTTTGAACTCATACATAAACAGTTTTAGTTATTTGAACTATTAGTGATTGCCCCTAAGTCCTAGCTATATTAGAAGACAAGATCAGGCATCATAGCTCAAACTATTAAACTCAGATTAGCAGAGATACAATTGGGAAAACAAAAAAACCCCAACATTATAAGAATATGGGGCTTTGTATATGGCCAGAAATAGTTTTCCTTGTTAAAAAGTCATTGCTGAAAAAATACTGGTTAGCAAGGAAAAAAACAGGTTTTGGATAGGTGAAAAATAAAATACTTATAATGAAAAAGATCTGGTGCACAGTGAGCTGTGCAGAATCAATATTTGTAAATGATACTACTTTCCTTCATCAGCCATAGCTGGAAAACTTCAGAAGGACATAAGTAATTTAGGCAAATGGGCAACACAGTGGAAATTCTGTTCAATGTCATTGCAAGGTCAAGCAGTGAGAGACAAAAATTCTTCAGCTGCTTCAAAAGGGTTCAAATTTAATAATATAAGCACTGGGACCTTGCTGTCCTGTGCGGTTCTTTGGGACCCACAGCTCCAGTGCACCTATAGTCTAACAAGGTTAGAATAAAGCTGAATAAAGACCGAATTGAAAAAATCACAGTACCAGCAACAGTGCAGCAACACCCTATGTATTTTGGGTATGTTTGCTGAAGCCCCTCAACAAGAATACTGAAAAATTAGACAGGTTTAGAGTAGGCTGAGCATGATCCAGCACAAAACTTTCAAAAACAGTTTGGAAAGGTGTGGTTAGTTTATCCCAAGGAAGTGATAAACAAGGCCATAAAAGAAAAGTAAATAAAATGCTGAAAGTGGTATTTACCAGGAGCTCCTATTCTTCCTGTCTCCACAACATGGTAGCAGTGTTTCCCCCTTATCCATCCACCCCCAAAATAAAAAATGAAAATGTGCAAGAAAATTCCCAACAACTGGCTGGTCATCTCTTTGTGGTTTTCTCACTGGAGAGCAAGTAAGAGCATTCACCAGCTCTGTGTACACTAAGTTGACAATGTAAGAGGAGTCAATTGATTACAGAAATCATGGCATGCATAGAAGGTTCTTAGACAGTTCTGTCTGACCTCAGTTTAGTAATTCTTGTCAGAAATCCTCCACATTTAATGGTCACCCCTTTATACCCCATGCAATACAGAAAACCTGAACAGCTGGTGAGTCACACTGTTATGAAGAAGAAAGTGTCTAGACAGAGTAAATCTGTCCAAGCTGACCCAATGAAGGCAAGTATTGAAGGACTTAAACTATTTTGCATCAGGAAAAGTCTCAGCTACTCACAGGTGATGCAGTCAGAAGAGAAAATTATACCTGTGACCTTTGGCCAAACCAACAGCTTATAACATGGCACCTACAGCAAGAGTCTGAAATGTTATCAAAGCTGAACATTTTCCAATGATGTGCCAAAAAGAACCAAATTCATTAGCTCATGCTGATACTTAATCAAAGTTCCCATAGAATATGCCAGGAAAATGAAATGGGAGTTGCATGGGAAGCTTTATTGGACCAGAAATAAGGAATAGAACATTTTTTTCCCTCTCCATGGCTTTTCCTCTTGAACATTGTAACCAAAACGATCTCAAATGTTTCAAGACTAAAGAAAAAAACTACATCCCACCATATATTTCCAAAAGCAAGAGTTAAAAAAATGTTTGTCTCTTACCTTGTTAGCTTTGTCCCAATCTGCTGCCTAAGTTCAAGCCTCTCTTCATCAGTCTGCATGGGGAGGATGTTCTTTTCCTCCAGCTCTCGCTTGGAAGGCCTGTTGCTTAGTTTGATTGCTAAAGAGTCCTTTCTGCAGAGTTTCCTTGCCAGGGGGCCTGTGGGAGAGAGGAGAGGCTCTGCCAAAAGAGGTGTCATCATTTCATTACAGCATGCACCTGGCAAAGAAGTACTAGCCAGGAGAGGATAGCAGGCTCTCCTTTACACTGGTATGGACTGTGGGAAAAGGGATGTCATTAACTTCATGTGCTCAGTTAACCTCAATTCCTATCAATAAGAAAAAGCTGAAATTGGTAGGTATACAGGAAATAGAAATTAATATATTGCTCTATAGAACGGAATGAAGAAGAAGAGCTGGTTTCAGAATTGCTAGGAGCATCTGTAGCTTTCTCTAGCACAGTATTTCCACATAATGGAATGAAAAAGTCAACCTCAGAATCCGGGCAGGCAGCAGAACTATAGCATGTGAAAAGAAAGGGGTATCTGAATGTCTCTTGTAATGTAATATCAAGACATCCAAGCCAGCATTAGAAGGAATCAGAAGCAGCACAAATCTCTATACACATTAACTAACTGCTTCCAGGGCAGTGGCAGTGGCAAAGACACTAAAAACCAGTGGTGTTTTATGGCTCAAATTTGCTTTCTTAGGCTTGTGTCCAAAGCAGTTTGAGCAAGGAAGACAGACACAGAGAGACACAAACACATGAGAGTTTGTCAGGAGAGTGTGAGACAGTGCAGTTCTGTTCTGTTTTTAGTATAAGAGCAAACACTGCTTAATTTCACTTGCAGGGTAAGGTGGGGTGCTGAGGAGATGAAATATGCCTGTTTTAGAATCTTCTTTTTGTGTGTTTTAAAAGGGATGTGGTTTGATTGTACTGCTTCCAGTTTTCAGAAGAAAAGAAAGGTAAGGGCCTGGAACTTCAATGTCTAGGATGACAAGCAGTTGTCATACATAAAGTACTGTATCTTTTCTTCATGGGACAGTCCTATGATACCACACTGAGGCAGGAATTGGGTTTTCTTACAGAGTTCAGGAAGGCCACAGCTCCTTTCCCAGTCTGTAATTGCGATATGGTGTCTGGGTTGGCTACATGATGCTTGTATCCCCAATTATCTGTTTTGTTTATGCCGGATAATAAATTTTGCACCTTTAAGACTTGTTCTGAGAGTGAAGGGGGGAGAGAAGAAGCATAGAGTTTGCTGGGGGAGCAGCCACTTGAATTTTTCTAGAGGAAACCCCTTTAGAGGTTTTTCTCCCAAAATTGCCCTAAACCAGGATGTATGTTTATCAATTAACCTCTTCTTATCTAAGCCAAATCCTCTGATTGTGACCCCTTTCAAAGCATGTGCCCATTTATGATTCCAAAATGCTGTAATATTGGCTATACATAAAAGCTCTGATTCTCTACATGTGACACTTATTTCACCCTCCTGAAGTAACTATTGAGATGATCTTGACTTAAGACAAAGGCAGGGCTTCTCTTCACCATGGGCATTTGGGAAAGTGAATCCAAAACCCAATTTGTAACTGAACCAATATAAGCCCAAACCTGTCATTTGAATTTAGTCTGAGCACTATTGAGACAAGTATTCATGAATATTAACAAAATAATTATAAATTCAGACTGTTTGTTATTTTGAATTAGCACCCTATGTAGTCAAGCCCTGAGAGATGCAAAAGCCACAGCCAAGAAAGAAAACACACAGGTCTTGTGTTTCCTTTGTGTATTGAGAGTTAGGGGTAAAAATTAAGTAAGTGAGAAAGGAAAAAATGGAATGAATGTTACTTGTAAATAATGAGTTATCCTCCTCTTCATCTTCCTCTTCTTCCTCTTCCTGCCTTGGATAAAGGCAGGAAGAATCTTCATAGTCAGTTTCATGAGGCACATTTTCTTTATTGTCATCGCATTCGATCACAACAGTTGGCACTTGTCTCATGTCTGGAAGGCCCCCAGGTCCTGTTTTTGTAACACTGTCACTTGTGTGTAAACCAGAGCTGTTGGGAAAGAAAAGCAAATAAATAAATAAACTAAAGGAAACAGCTCTATGAAAGACAGAGTTGCTTCTCTCACTGTATACAGGAAACCAGTGGTCTTTCATCCCTTCTTGAGAAGAAATGAGAACAGAAAGATTTTCAAGACCAGCAAGACATCTAATGGGTTTTAACTGAGTACTTATTAGATTTAGGGTACAACATTTATTAGGGAGAGGTAGGACAGCATGCAAGCAGAAATACTGTCAGCCAGGACAAAACACTAAAGATCTGTTGCAAATTCTTAGTGACCTGCTACTCAAGAGTGGTAAGCACCAGCTACTCAGTGGTAAGCACGCCTTCAGCCTGGTGTCTGTGTGACTTTTATGCTGGTGTGCAGGCAGCAAGGAGAAAATGTCTCACCTGAGTGCAACAGGTGGAGTAAGACTGGGAGGAAGTAAGGATGGACTGTAGGGGATAATTGTAGAAAGGCAGAGGGAAAACTAGTGGCTTGCACTAGTGATGAGTGACTTGAGGGATGGCAAGCACACAACTCTGACGTGCAGGGGAGTGAGCATGTGAAACTGGGCTTGGAGAAAAGAGACTTTGGGAGGAGGTGAGAGTAACCAGGGAAGAAGCTAAAATCTGAGAGGTTTGTTTGCTAATGGCACAGTTATATATTGGGGGGTGGCCATGATGATATCCCTTGTCTTGCCCTAGGTGCTGAAGATCTATCAGAATTGGTGTTAACATTATATTTCTTTTGTCACAGGTGTGATTGGTTATTTTCAACATCTTATGAGATTAAGACCTGTAGTGAGGACTCTTACCATCTAGCCCTGTCTATGTGTTGAATTCAAAGCCCTTGGGAACATGAAGAGATAAAGATCAAAGTCAAACAAAAAGTGAAAGGAAAAGTCAGGAACAGAACCATGTTTCCCAACTAGTTTTTATCTAAATAGTTTATGTTGCTTTCCCAGTATGAAATCAGAATGAGAGACTGGCAGGCAAAAATGGTGGCAGCTCAGGATTATTTGTGAGACAGCAAAAACTGCCCTCTCTCTGAAGTCCTGGCTGATGCAACAGCTCTGTGACAAATGGGCAGTGTTTCTTTCCCTGTGGGACACCCTCTCTATGTCAAACTCCAATTTACTTTTCAAAATAACACAGGTGTGGAAGCAGACGTGCTGGCCAAGCTGACTTTGAGGCACACAAACTTGTATCTGACAAGTACTGAGAGCCCTCAATTCCCTTGAATATTTTAGCCTGAATACCAGAAGTGTTCTGCATCCTGAATAAAATGTATTATCTTTAAAAGATTTTCTACAGAAATCTACTGAATCTACTATCTTCAACTTGGAACATTTTGCTTTCTTCTAACCCAAAAGTTAGAATTGACTCTAAAATGGCTGCCAGATAACATTCCAGGGAGTCTTTTAAGAATGTAGTTATAGGGATATAATGCTACTCCAAATATGCTTAGGGATTAAAAAGAAGGAAAGTCTTCAGATCCTGTGAACAAACCATACCATGCTGTTATCGTCATCTTCAGCTTCAAAGAAATATTTTTTTAAATTCCAACATGTATTATTGCAGGCTAATCAATAATGAGATGCAGAGCTTTACTAGATGCCTTGAAGAGAGAAACTCAATTTTCTTAGTGATAGCCCATGTTTTGTATCAAAAAGAAAGAAAGATTAATGAAGAACTGGCTTGCAAATTTTAGTATTGGACTTCTCATCAGCTGAATTCTCATAATGAGACATCAACACACTACAGTCTTTAAAAACTTTGAACACACTTTTCATTTGCTGAAATGCTTTCTGAAGTTTTATATTATGAACTTCATTAAATCTGTTTTCTCTGTAAGCTAATTTTTGAGTAAGTCTTTTAAAGAGGAAAGGAAAAGTCTGGAATCAAATTTATGAGAAAAAAACATAATATTGTGAAATTCTGTTCACTTTGCTAAATAAATACCCAAAACCTTCCAATTGTGCCCACTGGATCATTCATTTACACATACATACGTACACAAAGAGTACGTACAAATGAAAGGAGCAAGAAGTAGTTTAGCATCCAGGACTATTTGGTGCTTCCCTGTTCTGTGAAGGATGGATGTAGCTTATGGATGCATCCTTATGGGTGTGTCCTCTTATGGGTATCAGATATTAAAGTGATCCATCAATTTAGGTTATCAAGCAGATATAGGATGGCAACAGGATTTACAAGTTACCACAGAGGGTTTTTATTTGAACTAGTGATCTAGAAATAGGCAGCTTCTCATCTCATTGTAAGTTTTCTGAATCATCCACTTTCTTGATAATACTACTTTCTATTTTCAGCCCCTCATTTTTCCTAGTGTTTTGTGTTGTTCTTGATTAAAATCAGCCCTTTCCACAGCAATTTGACTAAGTCAGCTGTCTGAGCAAAGTGCTTATGAAATACATGCAGTAGTGCAGTATATTTAAAAATACAAATCAAGGTCACTGGATATGTCCATTGTGTATAAATGATTCTGGGTCATTAGCAAAACTCCCACATGGTCAGGTCATACACCACAAAAATTTTTAGCATTATTTACCAAAAAGCACACTATTGTTTCAAAAAGCCCATTTTAAACCAGTTACGTGTTTTGCAACAAAATTAGAGAAAAAAGCTACAGCTAAGCAAGTACTTGTTTTATTAAGAAGATCTTAATGCACGGATCTGAACAATTCATAGCTCCCTAGGTCAAGAACTTGCAATTACTGCTGCATCACCTGTACATGACCAAAACAGAAAAAAAGTGACACCACTATACCTTACGATGGTTCTAGTGATAAAATATTTCAATGAAAAATCACAATTTAAGCATATGAGTGACTCATGGTACAGACAAAATAAAGAAAAAGAAAAGGAAAAAAAGTGAAATACTTCCTCTAAAATCTAGTGGGAAAAACCTGCACACTTTTTGTCTGTCATGCCAGGCCCTTTGATTTTGGAATAGAGGATTACATTTTTATCAGAACGTTTTCAGATTCACAGCATGCTTTTCTGTACTTAACACCTAAAACAAAAAGATCTGAAAAAACTTCAAACCACCTCATATATGTTTCTACTACAGGAATGTGTGTGAGAAACAGAGAGAAGGCAGGCCTATAAATATTAGGTGTTTCTATCCTTAGGCAACACTTAAGTTTAGACAAGATGCAATTCTGTTGACAAGTTTTATAGAAGATAAATGTTTTCTGACTCAAATATGTTGTGTAAGATTTACAAGACACTGGTGGTAATGTCTAATGCATTTCATTTCATAAATCTACAATCTGCAGCTGAGTTGGGTGTCCCAGAGGAACTGGTCTCACACACAGTCTTTCTGGACACAGTGATTTTTCACTGCTCTGCCACAGAGGCAATTCTAGCCTGGAGTGAGATATTGCCACTTAACAGCTCTTTAGTATGTACACTGAACAAACTGAGGCCTGGATTAATCTGTGCCCGCTCCTGTACATGATCCCACAGAGTAAATGAAATTAATTGTCACCTTTCCAGACAGGCTGAGAATTACACAGGCAAGGCAGAAAATCAGGCTGTTTCAGATGAAGAAACTGCCTCACAAAGTTAAAATTAAAGACACATTTTGGTGTCACAAGAGAGTCTCTAAAGCTTCCTTAGCCACTGTTTGTGATGCACATCTTTCTTCTCAAATTCATTTCAATTAGGAGGATGAAATCTGCGTATTTTGGTGGCAGGGCTTAACAGATTTTAATCAACTCCTAAAAAAAATATGTCCAAATCTAGAGTTTTACTTATGCTTGACAAACACCCTTTCACCCTTTGGACTGAAGTGGAAAGTCATTTGCAGTAAGACACAAATTAGCAACAGAGGTTGCAGAAAAAAGGTTACATGGAAATGACATATTTCTCTGTTTCAACATTATCTACCATAAAACTGGTAATTTATCAGGGAAAATTGAGGCAAATTGGCAGCACAAATGACATGTCATAATAGTCATACTATGACAAGGGGCAGATTGCCCTTCTGAGAATAGGTTATGAATAGACATTATGAGTACCAGAAAATGTTTGCAATCAAAAGCGTTTAGTGCACAAATGAACTTAATGTTCTATAATGTCTGTAATAAAATTGAATAAAAAATCCAGGAATTAACTGCCTTTAAAGTCATAAGAACAACTGGGACTTGAATAGGTATTGCATGCCTTTTAATGTACCTTAAGACATTAAATTATTAATATGCACTAGATCTAGGTGGGGCAATTACATGCAATCACTCCTGCAGAGGGGAAAATAGAGAGACTCAGTAACTTTCTCAAGGTCAAAGAAAAATCTGGCTTCCAGGTCTGTACAGAGGGAAAGCTCATTTTTCTCTGGCAAGCCTGTGGCTCATTGGCAAAGCACTGATTTCAGCTATCGTTCTTCAGATGTTGTTAGACTATCTGAATTTCAGAGATCTTATCTGTGTAAGCAAAAGGTCCAGATTGCTAGAGGAAGGGAAGGTTTTAGCCTTTCATTTTTTGTTCATGTCAGCACTCAGACACCTGGTGAACAGGAGAGTTTTAAGGTCTAAGAAAAGTTTACTGGACAAAATGTGAATTTGATACAGACTAACTCACCAAATTTAAATGACCTTGAGGAGCTTCCACTGCACCAGGACCAAAGGAAGAAAAGGAAAAATTCCGCAAGGAAAAGAAAAAATTTAGAGCTGAAACCTGATCTGTGCTTGTCTATATGATCATCTCTTATTAAAAACAAAACACTTTTCTAAATATTCGCCCAAATTACCAGACTTGGCAGCATTATTACTGCAGCACCATGGCAATTATTCTGTAAAGTTGTAGGATACTTTTGAGATAATGTCTGAGAACAGAAGGAAAAGACCCGTAGTATTCACCAGAAGCTGCCTCAGACACTTACCAGGCTCTCAAATCTCCTCAGGATTGTTGACCCAACAATAGTGGCCCAGTACTTTGCTAACTTGCAAGGAACAGCAAAGTGCAGGATGTCTCTCCACATCCTATGCAGGCTACAGATGTGAGCGCACTACCAAGCTCCAAACAGAGGAAGGAGATCTAGGATCTTTGCTGTGTTAACAGGCCCTCAAGAGTTTTGGGCTGAAGTGTGCAATGACAAATGCTGCAGTATAATATAATGCAGATTTTTACAATAAGGGAAAGTAAGTACTGTCAAAAATAGTAGAAAACAGTGTCATTCAGTGCAAATAATTGTCTCAGAAGTTAAATAAATATATTTTAAAAATCTGCACAAATCTTCAAGCAAACTCAGCAAATTTATCTAGATCACAATGTGGTTTGAAAAAAGCAAATGAAGAATTTAAGAGCAAGATCAGCTCCACAGAACTGTATATACCTCGATATACTACAAAATAACAATTGCTGTTGCAGAGGAAATGATCATGACCTATTTTCTCCCTTGTGAATGCAGAAGTTATTGATTTGTTTTGACAAGGAGCGTAAACAAAGTACTCAACACATTAATCCATGATTTAACTAACAGTTAATCAACATAAAATTGGCTATTAAATATCTCTCTGCAATATCATGAACTAGGTTTCATATTCATTTTAAATGTGAAATATCAGTACATAGCCTTTTATTATTTTCTTCTAATTAATTGCAAAGAAAACAATTGTTTCACATTGGGACATGAATGTTTGCTTATTCAGTTTTTAACAAGCAGCGCAGCTTTAGCTTCAAATTAATAGTTAAACCCAAACCCCATCACCTTCTTTAAATCAATTAAACATATTTGTAGACATAAACATGATGGATGACTAGAAACTGGAGCATTCATTGCTGTGGGGCAACAGATGCCACAATGAAGTCCTATTCTGAGAGACGTCACTGAGCTCAGGATAACAAAGGGCCTTCTGCACACAGTGTGAGCCAGACATTAAGACATCCAACCTAAGCTGGGGATGGCATGGGCAGTGCAGCCCCAAAGGAGCCTCTGGGAGACAATAGCTATACACTGTGCCTGGTGCATTGAATTTTGGGATGGTGTAGAAGCACCAGACCAGCCATGCTGGCAATGTGAGAGGTAAATGGGTAGGATTAGGTAATTAGGTAAATTAGGATTAGGTAATTAGGTAAATTAGGATACTGCCCTATCCTAAACTGGATAGGGCAGTAGGGAACAATGTGGATGCTCTTTCTATCCTACCTCCACAGCTCTTTCACTGATAGGAATAAGAATCTCCTTCACAGCCCGAGTAGTTTTCCCCAGCTGAGAATTCCTCCATGCTGTAGAAACATTAGTCCCAAGATGTAATCACAGATGTGTCAATATTCTGGTACTAAAATAAGCTGGCAGTATGAGACAGCCTCTGGTCTCCTGAATCTTTTTCAGGCAGTAAGGAGAAACTGCCATCAAGAATTCAGTTGTTTCCAATGGTGGAATATAATGAAGGTAGTATTATCAGACAGCAATACTGGAGTAAATCATTAAGCATTTTGTCTGTTAGACCAAATATTTTGCCTTCCTGTATAACAGGATGATCTGATGCTCCTAGAAAAAGCTGGCTACAAAGCTGTCCTTAGTACTAAATAAAACATGTAATTTTTCATCCATCTTCCCTGTTCTGGGACTTTTTCAGTTTTCCTCTGCAAGGTGAAATAAATTTTCCAAATCTTGCTGATGTTGCAGTCTATGAGGGCAACTTGGATTTATATAACATGCTTCACTTATTCAGATTACTTGGAGAAACACTCAGAGATACTCATAACTGACAATAACAAAAAACAGCCCCAAGGTGGGTAAGGCATTTCTGATCAAATGTTCTACCTCTTGCCAAATGGCTAAAAAGGTAGTTGCTATGGAATGAGTTAAATATTTATTTTAAGATCAAACACATAATTTAATTTAAATTAATTTAAATAATCTAAATACCGTATTAAAACCCTTCTAAGTGACTTGTAGGAAGTCCACATAGATTGTTTCGAGCTAATTGGTAATACTAATCAGATGCTCTGCTGTAGTGGCACATTGGATTCTAATTGCTCTTTTATGAATCTTCCTCCCCTTGCATTTAGCAATCCTCCACACAACTGGAGCTCTGCAGTTATGCCTCAGCAGAACATACTGCAAGCCAGGCATGTCTCATTAAAATCTCCACTGGCTGTATTATCTACTTCCTTAAACAGGACAATGGGATTCAGGAAATTTGGTCTTCATTTCCTTTCTGCCACAAACTTCTATCAAACAATTCTGGCTCTTCCTCTGCCTCTGTTTCTCCAGAAATAACTCTGCCCTGAAGTTGTTAGACCCCAGAGGAGACACCTCATTCAAGTCCTATGAACGTAACTCAAGCGGCGATGTCGATGCTGAGGTTAGCAGGAAACAGTGCATACCATGCTAAAAGTTGATCCATTACCTTTCTAGCCTGTGCATGGTCATGGCTAGCGTTTTGTTCAGTTCCTCGATCATCCGGCACCCTGAAGGGTGAATGGGCAACGTGCTGGATCCAGAAGGAATGTGCTGGCTGTGGCTGCCGTACTGGAGCTGGTGCTGGTGAGCTGCTAACTGGGATGGCAGGACAGTGTGATGCTGCTGGGTCAAAGGCTGCTGGGAGCTCTTCTGTGTGGAATAGGATGAGAGAGAGAGGTCTGGCCCCCCTAAAGGCATGCAAATCATGACTTTCTTTGGAGGTAGTGGAGGTGACAGTTTAACTGGCATACAAGGCAGTTTCACAGGAGCGCCAGGATCTAAAAGAAAGAAAGAGAGCACTGGTGTTAATTTTCATATCAGTAAGAAGGAGATGAGAGTATCTGCCTGGGTGAGCAGGTACTGATGCTGCTACTTAACATGGGAGAGTGCACACCTTCCCTGTTGTGACAGACAACACCTACTGTATGCTCAGCATGGTCTCCAGAAAAAACACTGTTGTTTTGCAGCACTCCTGAGTCCCACAAGAAAACATCCCAGGGCTGTGCATGCCCCTTAATAAACACATTAAGCAATTCTTAACAAGGCTTGTGGCACACTTTAAAGCCTTAATCCTCCAACATAGCCCTGTGAGGTAGGTGCAACTTCTTCCACTCAACAGGAATGCAAACGGGGGTGGGGGGGGTGGGGGAAGGCAATTAGGATGAGAGCAATTCAGTGTCTGAAGTTACAGGATGACTCACCACCATCACTGCCAGAGCAAAAGCTCAGGGATTCCTGATCCACCTCAGCCACTGGAGTACAATTACTACAAGTCACACTTCTTACAGCTTTGTAATATGCAAAACATCTCGTGTAAAAAATTACATTATAGGGCAAAAGAGAAAAGAAATAAGGTTTGAATACTAAACAGGACATGTTTGGAAAAATGGAGGGTACACGAGGAGGAAAGTTAAAGGGCACTAGATTGTTAGGACTAATGTATTTTTTACAGAAGTGACAGGCATTTTTCTCTGGACTCAAGCACTGAATTTTACCTTTTTAACTCTACCTAAAATATTCACTGAAACCCATAGTTGATCAGCCAGGAAATTACTTCACTGACTTCAATGAGAAACCAGTGAGAGATCTACAAGCAAACCTCTCTTCCAGAACAACTGCAGAATGCAGATTTTTGGAGTTGCACTGTGAAATATTTTTAGATGGGAAAGAAATAACATGAGGGCTAGTAGTTGCCAAGACAGATGAGGGAAATGGTCACAAACCATACTAAGAGTGAAAGAGAGAGAAAATATATACACTGTAAGCAACAACTCTGAGTTTGTCTCTAGGGGGATGGCCAGGCCCTTTCCAGCCTGAAATACTGCACATATTTGTCTCTTCAATGTAACTCTGTGGGTGAGGCTTGCATGAGATTTGGTCTCTTGCTGCTTCTGTCCACTCCTCTTGCTACAGCATAGTAAGGGAATTGAGGGTCAGAATCTTCTTTTGACCTGAAGAAGCTTGGGAGTTAGATGCTGCTTTCCAAAGGTCATCACTATTCTGAGTGCTATCAGATTTCTATAGTACTTTTTTCCTGACTATACAAACTAGTTACTTCTTCCTGGCCTGTTCAGAATATTGCCTGTTCTTCTATCCCTATATAATAGCCAGGGTACAAAAGGGTGATATCAGAACTAGCAAGCAGTAACACTTCTGGCAAATGATTGCAAATTGCAAGGTGAAAAAAGACCATGAGCCAAGTTCAGATATGTCTCTTGAGTTATTTTAGTGCCAGTCACATCTTCCACAGAATCCACTTCATATTAGTGGTTTTGCTATGCTAGGAACAACACACTGACAGTGCAAGCCTTCCCCCTCTTCAGAGTGTTTATAGGCTAACAACAGAGGGGTCCAAGGGAGTGCAAATGTGCTGGTTTTGGCTGGGGTAGTTAATTTTCTTCATGGTCTGGTATGGGGCTGTTTTGTATTTGTGCACAGAGCCAAGGCCTTTTCTGCCTTTTGAACTGCAACACTATTGAGAAAACCTGTGATGCATGGGAAGCCAGGACAGGTGATCCCAAGTGACCAAAGGGATATTCCAGACCATATGGCACCATGCTCAGCATGTAAAGCTGGGGAGAAGAAGGAGGAAGGGGGGGATGTTTGGAGTGATGGTGTTTGTCTTCCCAAGTAGCCATTACAGGTGATGGGGCCCTGTCCTCCTGGAGATGGGTGAACACCTGCCTGCTCATGGGAAGCAAATGAACAAATTCTTTGTTTCACTTTGCTTGTGTGCATGGCTTTTGCTTTCCCAATTGAACTCTTTATCTCAACTCATTCATTTTCTCACTTTTACCCTTCTGATTCTCTTCCCAATCCCACTGGTGGGGGAGTGAGTGGTTGAGTGGGACTTGGCTGCTGGCTGGGGTTACACCACCATTTAGGGGCATGGAGAAAAAGTGCCCTTTCCACACCGCAGAGTGGAAGAGCAATAGAGAGTAGAATCCAAGTTTTTTGCCTTTCAATATAACATTAAATCCACTTAACATGTTGTCTCTTCCACGCAAAAAAAGAGCCATTCTTCTGATGGCTCTACCAAGGCTGAAATTTAACTGACGGGTTTGCCAAAGCAGTAAAAGAAAAAAAACCAAAACCAACCACATTTGGGATTTTCTATTCAAGCACACAAAGGTCTTACAGCCACCTTGTTTTTCTTACAAACATGTTATTTGCATACATTTCCTCTGTGTATCCTGCATAAAAGAACATACTCTTCAATTAAAGGTAAATAAAAGAAAGAGTAAAGACTAAATTGTATAGAGCCCTGAGAATAAAGCTCCTATGGGATTTGTAGTAAAAAAAGTGTTTTTTTCACACATTTATGCTTCAGGCAATTTTACTTCTAGAGCTTGTTTTGAATTACAAAGACTACATTAAGATTTGCACTCCATTTTGACAAATACAGGTTGGTTTTCTTTTCCTTTTCTCAGGCTCATGGCCTGAGCAACCATGTCAATTAAAGACTTCATTTGACAGTGCCTGTGCCTGGATGCCCCATCACACTGTGACAGCCATCCTTAATGGCGAATTCAAAGAGATCCCAACTTCAAGCATCTCTGTCTTTTAACAAAAGAATCACTGCAAGTATAATTTTTCTGCTTTTTGTGATCCTGAAGATCGGAGCAATGTAGTTCAGGTATAATGCAAACAGGAATCCTTCCTTCTTTCTTCTAAATACAGAGAAAATTTATTTTCTCCTGCAAGTGTTCATGCAGTAGAGTTGTGGTGCAGGCACTGCAGCTCTGGAACTGCACAAGAGAAGAAGTCTGGCTTAATTATCCTGAGTAGCCACATATTCTTTCCATCATGAATCAGACATACACACTCTGGTTTGACTCTGCACAACAAAGGTCCATAGACCTTCAGTTTCCACTTAAATTTAAACAAATGCTTCACATCAGCATGTTTTCAATGGTGCCAGTGCTGGGAGAGTCCACTGGACATCTGCCAAACATTTTGGCCATTATTTTTAATGTCCTCATTCAGGCTGACTGTGTTACACCCAGGTTCTTGAGCTTGTCTGAATATGATCCTAATACCAAAATAGACTCTTGGAAATGGATTAGACACATTTAGTCTACTTATCTGCTCTTCACCTTCAGGAGAATTCTACTTTGTTTAAATAAAAAGGTTAAAAGGAGAATGACTACAATGGGAAGAGAGTTCAATCCATTTGCTGGGAAATGTAACTGTTATCTATACTGATACCAGTAATGGAGACCCTGGTACAGCAAGTTTTAATGTGTGGTCTGATCAGTGACTACACTGAACAAGTGGGGCCTTGCCCAAATCCATGTGCTCTGGGCACGCTGTTGGAGACTGTGCTACCATCATCTACACTAAAGGACAGAACAACTTCTCCCTGCATGTAAGAGTGAGGTGACCGAGTTTTACAGTTCTTTCCTCTGATTGTTTTAATTTCACAATGTACATGATTTATGAACCAGGGGTTGTAACAATTATGGTCTCCCACATGGAATATACATCAGACATGGGCATCTGTAGATGAGTAAGAAGCTGGTCAAGGGAAATAAGAACAAGGAATCTATGATAAGTGTCTTCTCAGTGAAACACTACCAGAGTATTAAATCATTGCACAAAGCACTCGTAACTGAAAAGAAGAAAACTGTGTGGAGCCAGGTGAGCAAGTCTGATTAATCTCTTCTGGCTGAGGTTTTTCATGCTCAAGAGAATAATGAACAATTTTGCAAGATGCTGGTTCCCAGTGGGGTTGTGACCACTCCGTGCTGTGTAATAACTTTGATGTTAGAGTTGATGAAAAAGACATCAACCTCTCTACTCCTGATAACAATCAATTGCTTAAAAGACAATCATGGATTCCACAATATTTGCTACACATCAGATCTTTGACAAGCAGGTCATCCCTTCCCCTTTACATGCAGATCATTTTGCTAACATCCATAGTTACTGTATTTCTTTTGGGGCTTTCATGAGATAAATATATGTTTATTTGTTGCACAGATTTGTTACTATATGGTACATCTGAAGTGTTACTGGTACACTGGAGCTGTGCACCATATACACCAAGTCTTATACTTCTTAGTCACTGAACATGGCTGGAGAATTGGTCAGCACACATTGAAGACACAGCTGCTGCAGATGGGATGCTAGGAACTTCTGGATGTATGGAAGCAAAGGTTGCTGAAGCAGGGGTTGTAGAAAGGCTTATTAAAATCTTCAAATTCTGCCCCAGCTCAACTACTGCATGGAGAAAGAGGACATGCCTGGGGATCCTGGGCTTGTGGCAGAGCTGGCTGTGTTTGCCATACTGCCAGTGGCAGAAATGCTCTTTGCTTGACTCGTTGCCAAATATAAGCCACCGCTGTACCCTAACAGCAAGAAAGGACAACAGACTCCTGGGTGGTACAAGAAGAAACACAGCCAGGAGATCTAAGGATTCTTCTATTGATAGAAGGATCCCCTTCTATTCACCAGTCCTTAGACTGTATCTAGACTACTGTGCAAGTTTAGTATCCACCAGAAAAGATATCAAAAAACCAGAATGACTCAAGCACACGGTCACTGAAGTGGCTGAGGGCTAGGGCACCTGAAGTGTGTTCAGCTTGTAGGGGGAACACTTAAGAGCAGCCTCCCAGTACCTACAAGTTATCAATAAGGTTATACTCTTCAGTCGTGTGTGGGAGGAGGAAAGACAGTGGACAAAAGCGAAGAGGTTCAAGACTGGATTATAAGGAAAGTGTCTTCACTGCCATGAGAAGAGGCAGTTAGGACAGGTTGTACAGCTGGTATTCTCTGA